TCTGCAGATTTGTTTCACAGTGAGTGTATTCTGTTTTAGACAATATTTGCTTTTCTTTAATTTCTAATAGAATTGTGCTGCAAGTCAAATTGTATTCAGATGCCATTTTACCAAGAGCTAGATTAATTCACAGAAATGTCACCTTATTCTTCTAATCAATTTCTTTAATGTTTTCACCAAAATAAGAGGCACCAGACACTAATGTTGTCAAGTGAATGAGTATGGAAAGTTCAAATTACATGGAGTAATGTACTCCTAGGAAAGCATCTGACACAGCTATAATTTTTAATTGTCCCTTATTGACTTGGTTTAATTCCAGGGTGAAAAAATAAGAACATTCAGGCAGAAGGACAGTCATTGATGCAAAACATTGGCAACTTCAGGCATATGTCTCCCACGACATTGTTCTCTGTGTACCCCCTGACACCCAGCACATCTATCATTCCATCTTTACAGCCTGAGTGGTAATGAGCAGCAGACACTCAGCAGCAGTATCTGATTAAGTGCATCAGTCAAGACAGGTCCAATTTTAGCTTCATTCTACTTCAGAGTGGTGTGACTTCGCTGTTTGATATGCCATGTTTTTGACAGCAGGAATGTCAAAGCTAAACAAACCTTGCTGAGTTGTAAGCTTTCTTTCTCTGTGCTTGTTTTTGCTGGGACTTGGGGATTGTCAGCATGGGCTTGTACGTGATTAAGTAGTTGTAATGGTTTCCTGTGTGAACACTTCTTCACACTCAGAAAGCATTTGTGTGACTTGGCCTGTTTTAGAAATGCTTATAAAAAGATCTGGTTTGGTTATCTGTTCAGTTTTAAATTCATACACTGGCTTTCTTTTTTACAACAGATTTGCCTTTATGGCATATGAATCCTTACTGTCACGTTGTCATCATCCAGACTTAATTTTGTCTGTTTATAAGCAGATCCTGTGTGTACAAAACTGCCTTGTTTATTTCAGGAGGAATACTTAGAACAGGGGAAAAGGATTGCTTGCTGCATTTGATTTGTAAAAAATCAGTAAGTTCTCGCAGTAGATCAGCTATGAAAACTTCTCACTTTCTTATCAGTGAAAGAGTATTTCTTGTAGGGTGACTGTGTTTCAACACAGTTTATTGTCCTCTTGAAAAACTCACCCTTAAACTGTACCATTTTGTTAATACTTAAACTAAAGGCATGTCTTAGGACGAAGTGAAGGTTTTTAGAAAAGTCATAATGTAGCAAGTTATGAACAGTGTGAAATTTATTTGTCTAGCATCATTCACACTCCTGTCTGGGTTTGTAGTGTTTTGACTGTGAACGGTATAGAGTGGCAAAAATGACAGAGCTCTTGTGCAAAGAGAGGGGAGCTGCGAGTAGGAAGTGCAGACACAAGTCAGTGCTACTGTATTTTGTCTGACAATCTTCAGTTGTAGAGTTCTCCTCTACTACTCAGTCATTCGCCTTTTCTGGGAACTTCCAGACATTTTCACCTTGCTTCTGCAAAGCCCTGTGTACTTCCAAAGAAGTTGAAAGCTGGCTAGGTGTAGTTAGCACCTTGAGGTCCCCTTGTGTTGCACCTCACTCTTCCTTGAGCAGCACCAGCAGGAAACTAAAGCAGGGTGAGGGAGGGGTGGGTGGGGGGGAAAGCCTTTTTTGTGAAATCTCAGCTTATGCCTTTAGGTGAGGTGAGTAGTGTTTGCTCTTTAAGGGAGTTTGGAGTGGTGGAAGGCAAGCAGAAATTACCTGCTTAACAATCGAGCTCATTTTGAATGGATGAGTTGTTCAAAGTGAAGAAGAACTGTGGGGTTTTTTGTAAGTGTGATCACTGATAGTTAAAGATTAGAAAGCTCTTCTTACAAAGGACTGGCAAAGAACGTTGTCACCTGATGAAAAATTAAATTGATTTGTTAAGAGGGTAGAACTTTTTTTTCATATACAGAAACCATGCAGCTTTAAACTGTCCTGAAGAAGTTTGTGCAATACTGTTTTTTTCTTATATGGTTTAATCTTACAGATAACTTAAAATCTTTCCTAGCAGCTGAAAGTTAAGGGTCTTTTATGTTGCTGTTTGTCCACTAGGATTGCCACTAGGGTAGTTTCAAGGGACGTTTTTATTTTCACTAAAAACAATTTGGAATTTGATCTTAAAACCCAACCATTTTGCTGAAGTCTATCAGCCATTCCTATCTATAAGCTGATGAAATGTTTTCATATACACCATTTCTTCTGGTTATGCAGTCAAATGTCTGGATATCACATATCCATGTTGGGACATAGTGTTTTACTTGCTGGGCTGAATCAGTTTTTCTCATGAAAGGTTCACATCTGCAGAATTATCTCTCACAACAGCTAGAAACTGCTGAGTGTTGCTACTTGAATTTTGTGCAGTTTGTTACTTGAATCTCTTATCAACAGTGTTTTTGTTTAGTCTTAGACTGTCCTGGCTACACTCTCAGCACTACATTCCTTTTCTGTTCCTAAGGATTCCAGCACTATTCCTATCTATGTTATACCTCTTCTTCAAAAATCCGTGGAAATCCTCAGGGTAGGAGTAGCCCCTTTCTCTATTCTGTTTCTTGTGGAGTGAGTTGTGCTCAGCAGTAATGATGTAAGAGAGGCTTTCCTCAGGCAGTACTGTTCCTAGTCTCAGGCCATTCCTCACTTCTTGGATAGTCCTGGACTGGTGGGCTCCCAGTCAAGACTTCCAAGCCTAGACAACAGGATGCCTGTGATTTCTTAGTAAATCTGAAATCACTTGTAACACTTCACTCTTTGAAGGTAAAAGCAAGGTAAGGTTATTTAACTCCAGTTAGACGGTTA